TTGGGAAAATGCATAGGCGATGTAATCAGAATTGAAGAGTGATGAATTAAGTAAAAAATGAAAGGAAGGGGTGCTTCAGAATGGGTAAAATAAAAGACGAAGGAATCTTTGAATAGAAATATGTCCAGAAAGGGATACTGGTATCTTGAAAGAATGGAATTTTTTTTTTTTTTTGAAATAATGTTGGGTAAGCATGGGGAATTTTGGGTAAGCATGGGGGATTTTACGAAATACTGCTGAAGCGACTTTTCTATGTTACCCCTGGGCATAAAAAATTGAAAATTTTCTCAAATTTTCTGATATTGCCAGTTGGGTAAGTCTTTGTTTCAACTGCATCTAAGAAAATTTTCCGAGATACTGTTTAAGCGAATTTTCTACGCTACGTTTGGCTAGAAAAAACTGGAAATTTTCCAATACTGCTAGTTGGACAAGTTTCAACTGCAATATTTCTTTTTTGCTGATATAACCGCAAAATTTCTAGTCGCAACGCTAGTTATCCAGATGGTCTTATTATTTCTTCATTTCGTCTTCTATGGAATAGCTATTTTTCCGCTTCTCCAGTGCCTTTTGATCATCTTTTATTTGCCTTATCAGGAACATGTCACAAAATCAGCATTTAACAAAAAAACAACCATTTCAAAACAAGCAATATGTGTCGAAAACAAGTATTTAATATGTATCAGATACAAGTATTTCTGCGTTTACGATATTTTTGAACCTTTGCTCTTTTGAGAAAATGTTTTTTTTTCTTTAGATTTCGAGCAGTAACTCGTTCGTATTATCGAGGCGCCGCTGGTGCATTGATGGTATATGATATCACCAGACGGTCAACGTATAATCATTTGAGCAGTTGGCTTACAGATGCCAGGAATCTCACTCATCCAAATACGGTAGCTTTTACAGTTCACCAGAAGTATTTCGATAATTCTAATGTACTGGTAGACATTTAGCGCCAATGTGTTAGGAATCCTTGCCCCTCTACGATTCGTTCAGTCATTCGTTTCGACGATAAATTGGCACTGAAACTTGCCAGATACTGTCATGAACTTATTACTAAGCCGCTTTCGGAAGAGGAGCCATCGAC